ATTGCAATTTGTTGCTAATAAAGATTTAGCAAGAATTGATTGTCTCAACTAAATTAACTTGTTTTTTTTGTATCACTGACATACATATTTATCTAAGTAAAAAGATTTAGGTAGAAGATAAATGTAGAATGTCGAATCCTAGTTGCATTCTAATTTATTTTCCTTTGTGCAGTGAACTAGAGTTAAGGAACTACACGTCTTTGAAAATCGTCGTATACATGAGGTGGACGTCGAAGGCTCTAAGGTGATACTAGCTTGGAACCAAAATTCCAGCAACTCTAGAGCGCATCAATTCGGCAATAGGAGAGAATGAGGGCTACTGCTGTAAGACATTGCTAGACTAAGATTGATGGCAATCGGGACCTAATCCGCTACTGTAGGAGTGCTACCTCACCTGAAGTGGCCCACAACAAACTTTCGACTCAACCAATTGAACTTCCGCACTAGGTAAATTAGATTAACTTCAATTACGCTTAGGTTAAAGATAATTTCGGTTGAATTGGATGATCTTTTTATTCAATGAATTTAATCAAGTGAATGAAGAATTTTAGTAAATTGGATGAAAATCATATAGATGAAGCTAGATTAAGAGTGGATGAATTTTTTTTATTAAGGTGGATGGCTTTTTATTCACAAATGAGAAGTAATTTTGGATGAAAAATTATTTGTAGATGAGAATTAGCCTTGGATAAAAATTAACTTTGGATAAAAATTAGCCTTGGATGAAAATTAACTTTGGATGAGAATTAGCCTTGGATGAAAATTAACTTTGGATGGTAATTAATACTAGATAAAAATAAAAATAAAATCATATAAAAATTAAAATAAAGTCACTTAAAATTTTGTTTTCAAGTGTGTGATTTTGGAGTATTTATTATTTGCTTGTATTGTTGTTTGTGAATATGTGAGTGGGAACTTTTTACTAGTTAGAAAACTTAATGAGTTATAAGTAAGAAGTAAGAAGACTTTTTAGCTCATTAATTCACAAATGAGTAGTGGTTGTGAAATAGAAGAAAGTTCCTTTTAGAGGGTTTTATCAAATTCATAATTAAAAAATTATTAGAAATACTCAACATAGATCAAATGATAATAGTAATTTCTTAGAAAACTTAGATAATCAACATTGTTAGGAATTGGATTAGATTGCCAACTAATAGTAGTTCACCAATAGCATCCATCAAAACCAAGATGAAGAATAACAAATCTTTGTTATAAAAGAAATGTAGTTCAAAAAAGATAACATTTTACCTTTTATCTTTATTTGTAGTTTATATGTATTTGTGGTGCTAAGGAGATGGTTAACCAACAACCAATAGATTCAACTCTAGAGCTATCAATTGTTGACTTACTGAATAAAACATTGTAATTATTACAACTTGTAAGCAAATATAATCGAAATAAAGATCCTTAAGAATGACAAATTCTTCTTCAAATAGATAGCAAGATACAATGTATTTTGTATCATGACTTTCAAAGAGATTCTTGATACTTAGTGATTTTATTAGAGGTAAAAATGACTCCTTATGGTACTACAAATGTTTTGTTTGAAAGAAGTTATGAAGGCTTTAAAAATGACCAAATAACAAGGTAGTTTTTTTTTGCCTTGGAATAGGATATTATTAATGGCTAGAAAGACCTATCAACCATCTTTGATGAGAACTAAGATTAGAGTATGTAGAAAAATAAATTTGTTGCATCATGGACTTCCTCAATATATGATGATTAATCCTTGTCGAACTTGTCTTGAGAAAAGGAGATAACATCATGGACATACATACTTACCTAGATAAAAAGTGCTATGTAGTGTCACAGACATATATTTATTGTAATTTTTACCTAGATGATATGAATAGGTAGAAGTAAGTAAAAGTAGATTAATTTCATAATATCTTCTAGAGAAGCTTTCTAGAAGCTTCATAGACACTGCTTTGACTTTACATGTATTTATACTTGATTGGTAGGTTAAAAACTTGATCAACAAGTTAATCACATGCCATACATGTTGGTAGCTTGTGGAACAAGCTAATTATGTGGCATCCATATAGAAAACTTGCCTTGCAAGTTAAGATATATGTTGTGCAAAGTCAACACGTTTTTGGAGGTCCTATAGAATGTTTCCATGTAGCTCCTAGGTAGATAGTATATATAGAGGCAAGACTGAAGCCTTCTTCACTCTTGTCAATTCCTTTCTTGTTTCTGATCTAGCTTCAAGGGTCTCTAGTTTTCTTGTCTTTTGGCAATAGCGATTCCAGTTTCTTTTTTAATATACATATTTAGTTATTTCTATTTTATCATCTTTCTTTGAGAAAAGTTTCACTTGTTTATTTGTTTCTATCAAGTTATTTTCCTTGATAGGTAGAAGATAACTATAGGTAGTTTTGATATTATCTTAAGACAAAGCTTTTTAGAAGCTTCATAGATGCATATTTGAATTTTTAAATGTTTATAATTGATTTATAGGTTAGAAACTTGGTTAATAAGTTAGCCATGTATCACATATGTAGTTAGCTTGTAGTACTAGCTAAAAATGTAGCATGCATATAGGAAACTTATCTTGTAAGTTAAGACTAAGTCTTGCAAATTAGACACATATTAGAGGTCTTATAGGATGTCGCCATGTAGCTCTTAGTTGGATAGTATATATGGATAGAAGACTGAAGCCTTCTTCACTCTTGATAACACCTTTCTAGTCTTTAGTCTTATTTCAAGACTTTTTAGTCTTCTTGTCTTTAGTAATAACTATTATAGTTTAATATATTACTATTTTAAAGTAATTTTTTTAGTCTTTTTCAATAACATAAGAATATATTGAGATTTTGTTTTCTTAAAATTTATGTCCTTGACACCTTGTCCCTATAGTGTGTCATTAGTCAAGTATTGACATTCTATCCCTAGAATTCATAAATAATTCTTTTAATAGTATGTAGCAATAGTAAAAAAGTGGTGTTATTTGGAATAAACCACTGCCTCTTGTGCTTTGGCAATTTAAGAGAGACATGACATCTCTTTATTAAAGCAACACAATCTATCCAATGTGTAGAATTGAAACAAAGAAGTGCATTGCATAATTTGACACCACTAAGCAGTCTAAAGCCTAAGGAGAATGAGAAGCCTATTTGTAGTGGTTTTCATAGTTGGGTATAGACTAAGGGAGATAATACTGAAGATTGTTTTTACCACATTTTTATTTGTAATAACATATTTGGTGGTAATTTGAAGCAATGTGATTTTAAGGAAGTTGAGTCAATAATTGGCCTATTGAGTGGTTTCAAAGATCATACTAAAGAAACTGGTAATGAAGAACCTCAAAATTCCATAATAGAAGAATCTTCAAGTGTGAAGAGTCTAAGTAATGGTATTAAAGAAAAGTTGCAACACAATCATTCAATTCAGAGTACCAAAGATGAAAGTACATAAAGATAAAAGCATCAAGCAAGGTTGATTCATAAAGTGACATTTCTGCTAGAATTTGTAGGTGATGGTCACCAAAAAAAAGCCTCTAGTTATACAATTCTAGTTTCAATACATCATAGATAACTATAACTTTGTTTGTTTTTAATGGTTTTGAGGATTGCTATTTGCATTGCCAACATTAATTTGAGCAAAAGTAAGGTTGCACGTTGATTCCAATACTGTGAGTTGAGTGCCAACATTGTCTAGAAGCTATTAAGGTAGAGGAAGTATTGCAACAGGAATCTTCTACCACTACCAAGAAGAATATATGAAGTAAAGTTCTACATCAAGTGGGAGATTGTATAAGGATGATTTGCATGTAAGAATTGATTTCATTTGGACAATATTTGAATTAGATAAAGTAAGTTAGGATGTAATTAGGTTAGGATTTTGTATGAATGAATGTTGGATGAAGACTATAAACAAGGATGAAAACTTTTAAGGATGAAATTTAAAAGTAGATGAAAAATTATTTATGGATGAGACGTTATTTGTGGATGATAACTTATACTTGGATGATTTTTTGTTAATAGATAAATTCTAATTAAAATAATAATAATAAACATAAAATATTAATTAATTAATTAATAAAAGAGGTTCTCAAGGCATGAATTTATTGAGTGATTTATTATTGTGATTGTGAATTAGTATTAGAGGTATTTGCTTAATTAATTGGGTGATTTAAAAAGAATAAAGAGAGAATTGTTTAAGATTTGAATAATACCTACAACTTCTAAAACTTACATAGTAATTCACTTGTGGTGAACAAGAATAACCTTCCAATTAATGGAGGCTTACTTAAGCTCACAAATAAGATGACTTTTCTGGAAGTAGGTGAAGATGATGGAATTTATCCTCAACTCCATGTGTGTCTGCAATGCTGATACAAAATCCTCAATAATCTAAAACTCTAAATACCCCCTCGCTCTTCTGCCCACACAACCAAATTCCCCCGAGTTTCTCTGCTCGCCCCTGGCATTCTCCGGCGCTCCCCGCGTTCTCGACAGATGTTGTAACAGCCATGATTGACTCTTGAAATGCTGAGATGACTAATGATTGACTGCTGAGATGTCTCGAGCCAGTCAAATGAATAGTGAGGTTTCTGCGACACGTAGTGACCAGGGTCAGTGCAGCACTCTTAGCTCACAGTTCTGCAACATATTCAGAAACAGATCAATAAGGTCTTGATCCCATTTCAGCTCCATTCCTCTCAAAATCAAAATTGAACATCCTTCGCTGTTTGAACAACTACGCTGCAATTCGTCATTAAAACCCCTTTCAGACTCCATCAATGGGTCTTCAATCACAATATTTCTCACGGAATGCGAATTTCCGAATCCTGGAACGGAAAATTCTTTAAAATTATCCACGCAATTGAGAAATTTAAAACTTCCAATCCCGATGCTGCAGAAAACGACCGGATTCAGACTACAAACTGCAACAAATTTTCCCGAAAAGGAATCGAATCCTCGATCCGAATGCTCCTTTGCCTCTAAACCCCTCATATTCGGGGTCGAGAGCACCGCACGGCATCCCGCACATCCAAATTCCACAAATACATCACCTAACACCAGCTCTGAATCACATGCATCTATTCCAAATTGCTTCCCATATCGCGTCGAGGTGTCGATGACGACGCTGGTGCCACGCTCAAGCACATACCAATCCTTCCGCATCGGTGCCATATTAATCCAGGTACGCACGCTGCAAAATTCGACATATTCTAAATCTCAAGATTAGGTCACTTTTCATACACAACGCAGCCCTTCCAATCACCCATTGAAAGTGCAACTTTCAGAAGACTAGTCAATGGAGTTCCAACATGTCGGGATGAAGAGCAAACTGTTCAAGCATTGACGAATTTAATCTGGAGAACTATCAGGTCACACAGAAATACTACAGGTTCTAGAACCCAATTCTACGTTTGCTGCTGGTGGAGCATTTTCCAGCAACATAGCCATGGCATGCGAACTAATCCTCAGAGGTGGGTTCGGTTAAACTGAATTCCAAGCACTAGACTAATACCAATGACGTTGCTACAGTGATGCGCTCCGAAACCTAAAGGATCAATTGTGAAACAAGCGTCTGTGCGCAACTGCAAGACACTAGCTTCGAACATTCTAGTGCCCATAAACCCCTGTCACAGTACGAGATGCAGAGTGAGATATTGTATCAATACTTCCCCTCTCAAGAAGAGCATCAAACTGAGACTATGTGACTATTTTGCCTAATCTTGGCTACAGTAACAAGCTCACTCTCTGTCGTCTTGAACTAAAACCACCCCGATGAAGGAATGGACACCATGCCTGAGTTATAACAAGGAGTGGAGTGCCGGGGTAGATGCTCTCATGCTGCGCCTAACTTTTAGATCATCTGCTGTGATTGGAGGTGTTTCGGCTGTGATTTGGTTGCGATTCGGAATGTCAAGGCTGCCTTTTCAAGGTGCGGATTCTGGAGGTTTCAATCTAGGCGTGATGTTTGGTAGTTCATGTGGTGTTTGTTTGGGGTGTGGAGTTTGTTGCGATGTATTGAGGGTTTCTCTCAGAGGGAGTTACGAGGCGGGGTATTTGGAGGGGTATGAGATTGGAGAGAGCAGGGAAGCCTGGAGGATGAGGTGTAGGAGTGCTACATTTGGTTGTGTAGTGGAAGATTTTGATGGATGGGTTAGTTCTGTGATGCACGCACTAGTGAAGAATGCGCACTGGACGCTTGCCAATGAACACTTGTACTGAACGCATGGGGAGCTTGGTAGCGGCATTCAGGAAGCGTTTTTCTTATGTTCTTTCTTACAAGGCGAGGGTTGTGTGTTCTTTTGACCTAGTCCTTGTTGACATGTTTCCGCTTTCAGAAATTTCAACCTAGTGCTCACTTGCATCCGAGAGAGCCTGTCGCAGCTTTCAATTAATGGGCTTACTGCGTTGAAATTGTGAGAGAGCGAGAGAGAGAGAGAGAGAGAGAGAGATGTTTGCGGAATTTGGGGAGTCCAAATCGGCGAAGTTATCAGATTGGTGCAGGCCATTCCTCAGGTCAGTTTCGTTGTTTCTTTTATGCAAGAAGTACGGAACTTTTACTAGTGCATTGTAAACATCTGGAGTGAGTCGAGTGTTCATCTAACTGCTAGCTTCTGAGATGTGGCAGATGGATGTTTGAATGAAGGAGAAGAAAGCAGCTCATGGTGTGTCATCGGGGATCGAAGGCGCCATGAAGGGTCCAAATCCTGAGGATCGTTTCTATTTGAGTAACCATCATTCTCAGCTTTATATCGTCAATGTATTTAGCTTCTGAGCTGATGATGGCGATTTCAGGTTGTTACGGACAATTTACAGTGTGAAGGTGGACAGTGATCTGTAGAGATACGTAGTGACCAATGATCTTTACTTCGGTGTACTTAATTCTAAGTATGTTTGGAACACGTTTTTGCGGAAGGTTGTGATAATTGTACCTAACTATCATAAACGTAACTATGTACTGAAACTTGTAATTAACTAGCTGTGGGTGCAAATGAACATAATAGGTCTCTGGGATTGCAGACCATTTCAAAGTCGGGGTTACGTTTTTGTCTAATTGTTGTGCAATTTGCTTCGAAGTATCCTATCCTGGCTAGATGTATTTGTGTCGGAGAGTTTGTGATGCGGGAAAAGAGCTTTTCCGGAGGTATCGTAGAGCAGCTACTGCAATGATTTTCTACCTTCAATGACATGGAGCAGTTACTACGATGATAGTTGTATGGCCCGAGGATACCATGCACCAAGTCTCTCCTTATTCCATATCCCTATCTTTGAAATTTGGTAACGTATCTTAAATTGACATTTCTTTCTTATTGCTGCAGAGGACAATGGCGGTGGGATGATTTTCATGAACTGCATTGGTACTGCCCCGCATAAATGTGGAGAAATGAACTTTGGCATCCATGGGTATCATCCACGGTGTAGAGTGTATAGGCACGCAATCAATAGGCTTGACAATAAACGCAGACATCTACTGCACAGCAATCCCTGGTGGTCCAAGCTCTTTGACAATCGCAGTGGAATAGCAACATGTACACCACAAAGTTCTTACAGACACATACGGATATCGCCAAGACGTGCGGAGCGGGAGAGGGCTTCAAGCTACGCACGCCCAGCACACTGCATCCTGAATGACAAACTCAATCCCGGTACTCAAGTGTCCGACTATGTTGCTATATCCTATGTGTGGGATATTAATCCAGTGTGGAAAGATTGGTGTGGGCGACGCGGCACAGAGCAATCACTGAAACTTTCGGAACGTCTGTCAAAATAAACCCTCCCGCTCTGGATCGACGCAGCCTGTATTCCTCAAGACGACAAATCCGGGAAGATGGAAGAGTTGGCCAAAATGGCTGACATTTATCGAGGGGCGACAGCAGTACTGTGCCTAGTCCCAGAAGTGTCTGTCGATGCCTGCGTCACGTTAGCACGGTGTAATGCGCTCATGGACGATGAGTGTTACGCCGAACTTCAAAAGGCCACCGATATCTATGGAAGCTATATGTTTGCTACCCTCGGAGAGCATAGTTCGCTGCGGAACGTATTTGCAAGCAGATGGTGGGAGCAGGCATGGACATTTCAGGAGGCGGTGCTAAACCCGCGTACCTTCTTAGTTGGAGATGAAGAGGAGAGCATTCCAATCCAACATGTGTTGCGCATTGCTGATCCTGTTCGTCACCAAGCGGCCTCTGTGGGTACAAAGCTAACGCTGGGGAAGTCAGCAAGCTTCTGGGACTCGGTATCTACGATGGTGGATGCTTCTATGAGTGGCTTGCCAGTAGGAGATGCGCTGTCTTGCGTGTGGCGCCGCAATGCTACCGTAGAACATGACATGGTGTATTCTCTGCTTGGTGTTTGTGACTTATCAGAACAGGTCCAACCAGACTACGACATCCCCTTCAGTGCCATTTTGATCCAGGTTTTCGAGAGCGCTAGCTGCCGTGGGGATTATTCGTGGATCTTCTGGTGCCATGAGATAAGTCGTGACGAGGTGGAGGATGGGCTCGGCATGATACCTACCCCAGACCAGGTGCGCTCCGTCCCATTCATGAGTTTCACTAAGTGGAGGAGCATTCCTTTTGTGCCTTTGAACCTTGCTGTGCAACCTGGCGCAGAAAAGGGAATCTTGCTGCCTTACAGGTCTACTGGCATTACACGTTGGGAATCTACTCCGCAGAGTCTGCCCGAAATGGTGAAAACGCTTGCAACAAGAGGCTATAATGAAGCCGAAATCTGGGATCTCATATTTGGAATGCGTGTAGGCCTTTATGTGGACATCGATCTCAGAGTCAGGGGGAGTCACTCTGAACTCGCTGGTATTTCGATTCCTCTTCTGAATTTAACTCTGGCTATGGTGGACGGATCCACTCTTATGACCCAAAGTATTCTGGATATTCGAGGAATGTATGCTCATTCTCCTTTCTATGGCTTTACAACCTTTGCGGCTATAGCAGCTCACACATGGAAGGGGTGGCTCTTGATAGCCATGAGTTCACAGGGCGGAACAATTGTCGTCCCGAAATATAAAAAATTTGGCACCAGCCCCGCCCGCATATGTATATTGCCGATTGAGTATGTGGGACAGAAAGCAAATCCTTGTGGCATCTATGCTAGTCCTCGAGTCGCATTTGTGCACCACTGTGGCGAACATGATGGCTACACACAATTCTGTGCGAGTGCTATGGGTATCATGATCCAAAACAAACGTGGTGGTCTCGGAACTTGGCAATATAGAAGAATCGGTTGAAATCGTTAATGAATCCAAGGTCATGATGAATGAGAATCTTTTCATGGTTGTTATGCTACCTTCTTGTGCCACAACCACCCATAGTGTTTTTACGGTGGAGCCTTCTACTAAATCAGGAGGCCACCTTGACCAGGGGGAGGTAATAGAGGCTTTATAGTTTTTGTAGGAGAGAAAGCATGAGTGATGTGCATTACACCTTCATATCTTGTCATTTATTGAGTAAACCTTGGAGTTCTTTCTATTGGATTGCACTTTTATATTTGTTCAAAAGAGATGAAAGATGACTTCATTGGTATCAAATGAAGATAGATGAATATAATATATCTTAAAGTAGGCATTGTATTCTTTTAATCATCAAAATCATTTATTATTCACTTGGCAAGAATCATTTGTTGAAATTATTGGAATCAAACTATAGGTTAAGTAGAAGTAATACTTCATAAGAAACAAATAGATATGAAAGGTATTCAATACTTGTATACTTTCATGAATTCCAATGGATAAATAAAAGAAACTTAAAACATATATAAGGTTTAATCATTGTTTTCAATAAAAAGAAGTTGGTGATTATAGAAGACATAGGGCCACAAATAAGCAACTCAAGAATCACTAAAGTATTAGTATAAAATAATTGCACAAAGAAAAGGAATTAGAGTGACCATGAAGATGATATCTTCCTTCCAAAATAGAAGGTAATATTTCTAATAAAATATGCCAATAAAGCAGCAAAGAGCAAAATGAAGGAATATTCTAAAAGAAAAACTTTCTTAAGGAGGCTTTAGAGTTCTTTAGAATGTGAAGAATAGAAAAGAGCTATATTAGAGCTTAAGTGGCATACCTCAAGAACTTACATTCAATCTCTTTAAGATTATCTTAACATGAAAAAAGATATAAATATATTCACATAGGTTGATTTTAAAATGCATGTCAAATGAAAATATAATATTTTCATAAATATTTTGTTTAAAACTTTAAATAGAGATAAAAAAATTGATATGTATGCCTATTGCAAGAAACAACCAAAATTTAACGTAGATGGCAAGGTATAATTACTTCATCATAATATCAAGACTACTCATTCTTGTGACAAGTTAGACTATTATAGGCTTGGATATTTTTCTATTTATGAATAAGTCAATCTTATTGTTTATTTATTATATCTACCAAAGTCTATGAAGATCCATCTCATATTCCACATGTCTCTTTTTGAGCCATATAAGATGGTGAATATCTCGAGAAGAGGATAAATGCCATCTCCTCTTATACAAGTGGATAATAATCAAGAGTTCAAGGTAGAAGAAGTATTAGAATCAAGGCAATTCCAAAATAGATTGAAATATCTTATTCATTGGCATGAATATGATATTAGTGAATGAACATGGAAGTTTGTAAAAAATCTTACAAATGCAACAAAGAGAGTTGAGACTTTTTATCAATGACATCTATCAAAATTAAGACAAAAAAATAGTAAGATTTATAAAAGATAATGACTACTCTATATGAAACTTGCCTTTAAAAGGAAGGAATAATATCATGTATATATTCTAATAATTATCTATATGATTAGGTAGAAATAGATAAATGTAAATTAGTTTCATAATATCTTTTAGAATAGCTTCTTAGAAGGTTCATAGATGCAGATTTGACTTTAAATGTGTTTATAATTGATTGATAGGTTAAAAACTTTGTCAACAAATTAATGACATGCTACATGTGTTGATAGCTTGTAAAACAAGCTAACTATGTAGTACAAGTTAATTATATGGCACATATATAAATAACTTTCCTTACGAGTTAAAACATGTATCTAGCAAAGTCAACACGTGTTAGAGGTCCTACAGAATATTACCACATAGCTCCTAGTTAGAAAGTATTTATGGAAGCAAGAGTAAAGCCTTTTTCACTCATGCCAATTTTTTTTTAATCTTTAATCTTTTTTCAAGACTTTCTAGTCTTCTTTCAAGACTTTTTAGTCTTCTTTCAAGACTTTTTAGTCTTCTTGTCCTTAGCAATAGACATTTTAGTTAAATATATTAATATCTTTGAATGATTCTTTAGTCTTTTTGAGAGAGACAAGAAAGTATTGAGGTTTTTTTTCTTTGAGATTCATGTTCATGACATCTGCTACCTAATCAAATTAAAGCATCAATTTTGAAGGACAGGATTTGAATCACTTAATCAAATTTGAAGGCAAAACTTAGAGGATAGATAAGCCTTTAAGTCTTCTTTCTAATAAGACTAGTTGGATTCAATTTAAAGCTTACAATCAATTGTGGTATACTAAATTTTGAAGGTGGGTGCAACAATAGGTTTAGAAGTGTCAACCACCTTTGGTTCTTACTTAGATATATTGTAAGTCCCTTAGTTAGTTATTATGGATGAATCATATAGATAGAAATTGATAATGAAATTGAATCTTATTCGATAAAAAAGTGTGTAGATAAAGCTTAGTCAAATTGCATGAATTTTGATAAATAAAATTTCTTTTTGAGCGGATGAATTTTTATTTGTAAATGAGAAATTATTCTTAGATGAAAAATCATTTATGGATGAAAGATTATTCTTAGATGAAGTTTTGAATTTGTATGATAATTAATACTAAGAAAAATAAAAATAAAAATCATATAAAAATTCTCTTCAAGTATGTGGTCTTTTGAATTGTTTAGATGGTTGTATTGTGGTGTTGTAAATTTAAAAGTGTGCTATTTAATAAATTAGGAAGCTTAATGATTTTTAAGTAAGAAATAAGAAGATTTTTTTAGCTAATTAATTCACAAGTAAGTAGTAATTATGTGCTAGAAAAAACTTCTTACTAAAAGATTTTATCTAACTCTTGATTGAAGAATTATTTGAAGTATTTCTTTTTTTTATCAAAATCTAAAAATAAAAAATTGTAATATGAAAAGAAATAGTTGGCTCTGCAACAACCTCAAAAAATAACTAGGAAAGAACAAACTAAATAATATCATCAACCAACATCTTCAATCAAAAATCAATATCAATAATATTAATAAAAAATAGAAAAAAAATAGAAAAATGATACTAAAACAATACTATTGAATGCCACAAGAACAAAAAGTAAGAGAAATAAAATAAAATAAAATAAAATAAAATATAGAGCTCTTGATATTGTGTTGTAACTCAATTATATAGTAAAAGAGAGAAATATGGATTCTACTATAAAAGAGCGTAATTAAAAATTATAGTAGTAAAAAATAAATAAAAAATACAAAGAGAATAAACATATTTATTATCAATAAAGTCTTATTGTAAAACAACTTTTACTTACTTTGTATCACTATAAATAAGATAAATATATATATTAAAAAGATGAATAAAAAAGACATATTGTGGCATAAATTAAGAATAGATTATAGAAAATATTACATTAAAAACTTAAGAATTGATACTCAAAGTGGATCAATTTTGAACAAGGGTCAAAATCTGACCTAAAGTCACAAAACCATGCATCTATGGCAATTCCAGAGTTTTTATGCAAATTGAAGAAAATTATTTGAAAGAAAACTTTAGAAAAGGCTATTTTAGTATTTTCTTTTAATTGATTTGGATTACTATTGATATTTTAAGAGCTTTTTAAAGTTAGAGATGTTTTCAATGATTTTAAATTTTGAGAAATAAAAGAATTTTTATATATCTCAAAAATTTGTAAATATTATAGTAGATGGATGGATAAAATTTTGTCTAAAGTGCTTATCTTAAAATAAAATTAAAAATTGAAGATCCATTAAATAGTTAGATTGAAGAATATTAGAATTTTATTAAATTGAGATCTTAGATATTTGATGTTTATAATCAATGAGATTTTTAGTGATCTTAAGAAATCTACTAATTTGATTGAAGCAAAAAAAATTTAGAGCATAGTGAGCTTAATTTTCAATAATTTTGTCAAATTAAAAAACAATTGAATGGTTTAAAAAATAATGATTACTATAAGAAGATGAATATAAAGGTTGGAAAAGGAAGACGGCCAGCACTTTAGGATATTAGAAGAATTTCTTTCCAATTGATAAATTTAATTTTTTAAAAAACTTTATTTACTTTCTAATTTCTTGAAAATTAAAATATGTGAAAAGTTTTAATTAAAATATGTGAAAAGTTTTAATTGAAATAAACAGTTTGATTAATTGTAATTAAGATTTTAAGATAGATATAAGAATTTGATTAGAATATAATTAAGATTTCATGAGGATTTGATTAAAATTTATTTGAGATATCATATGAATTTCATTAGGATTTGGTTAGGATTTAATTAGGATTTACTTATAAATTGATAAAGTTTTATTTAAGATTTTAATAAAAATTAATTAGAATTTTCTTTAAAGTAACTTTGAATTTTTTTTAATCTTTTTAAGGATATTTTTATTATTTATTTAGAATCATTATAATATTTTTTTACTATATTTTTTTAATAATTATTTAAGAATTCTTTAAATTTTTCTATGACTTCTTTAGAATATTTTTAGAAAAAAATTATGATTTATTTAGAATTAATTATGGTTTAAAAAAAATTATTAAGGTTTAATGAAGATTTATTTAAGATTCTATTAGAATTATTAGGATCTTTGTTTGATACAATTTCTAGATTAATTTTTACAACCAAATATCCAGTGCATTCTCTAGCAAAGAAACATACTATATAGCACTAGATCCCTATCAACAACCTTCTTCCTAAGATGTTAGATCTTCTTAGCCAAAGTGATATTATTTTTAGAAGACTAAAGGACTCATCCAAGGATATCAATTAACAATTTTTATTTTTAGATTTGCTACAACTTCAAAGTATATGTACTTATCAATACATCTTGTACTAAGTAGAATTGTTTTAGTGCTACCATATGACATCCACCCTTCATTCTACTGCTAAACAACTCTACATACATTGGATAGAAGTAACACTTCTATATTCCAACAATTGACTAAAATGATACTGCTAATACATCTGCTTAATAATCTTTTGATCTTTTCTTGATTTTAATAAAAATGAGCTTCTTGTTTCTTTTTAATATGGCATTAATAGCTTCTTGGATCTTTCCAAAATCACCTTTTTAGACTTATATAGAATTTGATATGATAAGTATCAATTTAACAAATTTATTCTTACTTTCATCCTTTGTATTAGCATTGACTACTTTTAAAGACAATCTAATCTTTTATAGAAGAAAGAATGAAAGATATTATCAATTAAGTAATGGTTCTTTAAGTACTAGACTTTAGAAATTT